CAATTGTGCTAATATAAAAGATAAAGGTGTAAATTTTAAAATATTAAATGGTACATGAAACTAATTAAAGTTATACAACAATATTGGTAAATAAATTTTAAAAACAAACGAATACTATAGGATTAAATTTGAGCAAAAATTGTTTATTAGATAATATTTATCTTTGAGCTATTGATTTATGCCAGGGAATTGAAAAACTTATTCGATATATAAAATATAATTCCATTTTTGGATTTGAAACGAAATATTTACAAATAGGATGGCAATGAATAAAGTGAAATAATAAAAGAAGAAATTAGAAAAAGTTGTCAATAAGATAAAAGCTGAAATTTTACACTGATTTTAAATTAATTCAATTTTCTAATAATTTTCCATTAGCTAATTAATAAAAATTAAATGATATAATCATATAAATCATTAATTAAATCATATAATCATATAATCATATAAATCACAGAATTAATATTTATCTTTACTATTATTATTACATTTGCGAAAAAAAAAGCATGCATTTAAATTGAGTTCAAAATATTCAATCGATATTTAGCATATTTATATTCAAACTAACCACACTGATATTAAGTTAATTAATGAGATGCTCGTTAATGCGAAAGAGCGAAAGTGTAATTTGTCAAATTAATTGTGAATATAAGCTTTAGCATCATCATCTGCAAGACAAATTATATTTAATGATCAATTACTTTTCGAATTTCTTTCATCACATCATTTAACCTTTGATCATCAGATCAAATATCATCGATCATTAATCAGATAATTAATACGGCTAATCTTTTATCATTTGGAATACTCGATGATATGATTTGTTCATAATTATTTGTTCAAATTCAAAATCATATCATCCATCCTATTATGATTATTCTGTTTAATCGTCTATCTATCTTGCTTTATTATTAATTAATGTTATTAAGAAGTGCTAAGTTGTTTATTATTATCGTTTATCGTTTTATTATTATTGCTATTACTACTACTAATTATTATTATTATTATTATTGCCATTATTATTATTATTATCAATATTATCACTGTTATTATTATTACTATTATTATCATGATTACCACCATTATTTTCATTCTTTTAATTAAGAATCAAAAGTAAAATATAAGCTAAGTAAATTTTGTGGTAATAAAATTAATGTTTTGCAATTTTAATATTTCTTATTAATTTACAGAATTACTTCATCTGTTTTCCTTGTAAATTATTGAGAACTTGTAGAAAATTTCCTGAAATTTCATAATATTTTCTTTCATTACGACGATATTGTCTATTATCAAATATTATGTTCGTTATAAAAGGGTTTATGATCTTATTTACTAGAGGTCACGCACGTTACGTGAAGCTAATTTCGTGTCATTTTTTTATAACCAAAATTTTTTTTTTATAACCACAAAATTTTTTAATATTTATAACCAAAATTACTGATATCGTCATTTAGCATATTTCATTTGAAACGGCGATAATGAATTTCTCATTTATAACCAAAATTAAGAAAAAAAAAATCATTATTTAACTCTTTACTATATGTATTGTTTAACTCTTTACTATATGTAATTATCGTATCCGATTCCGTTATTTCTCATAATAGTACTGTAGGCCTTTTTTTATTCCTTGCTATAATACGATATGCTTTCGTCAATATAAATTTTTCTGAAGATGATTAACATCAATAATAATTTTTCCAACATTTTCATATCAAAAAAAACGTTTGAAATTTTTTTGAAGAAAAATTAATGTCAAATAGTACTACCACTATTCGTCGTGCTAAATTCTGTAATTCTTGCAATAAGCAATAAATAATATACTAAAAATATCATTCAATAATCATCAATTTTGTCTTACCTGAAATTGCGCCCATATTCATGTTGTTTAGGCGTCAATTAAAGAGACACGTTCGATTAGAATTCTGATTACTTTTTCATTATAGCATTGCGTAGGAGCTGTCTGTTATTTAATGAATATATCTTATGTCTTCATCATTTCAATTTCAAAGTATCCTTATAATAAAAATGGTTTATTAAAATTCTTTTGCTAATTCGGATTTTTAACTATTTCGATTTATATATCATGCAAGTGTACTATTATAAAAAGTATGCATATCGGAAGGGTTTTGTTGTGAATAAACAAATTAAGGATGAAGACAAATTTTTTCCCCACAATAACTGAAATTAACATATTTCCATTAAAAATCTTAATAACTATTAATAATTAAGAATTTCTATAATTATTAATAATTAAGAATCTCTATAATAAAATTAATCAATATCAGGCAAAGCATTTTATTTTATTCAATTATTATCCTTCATGATATAGCGTGCAGCAAAGGAAAAAAGTTGAAAACAAATGGTAAAATTAAATCAAAAATAATTAATTAAACAAAATCAAACAGAAATACCAAAACGAAATTGAAAAGAAATACTAATTGGAAATCGAAAATTATTTTTTGCGAGGGTAAATGAAATTTAAACTTTAGAAAATAAATTAATTTGTTTCAAGTAATTAATTTCAGTTATTCAATTATAGCTTTATTGCCAAAATAAACTTTGTATTATAAAATAATTTATAAACAATAAATGAAAAACACAAATGATTTAGTTCATTTAAAGTTATTAAAAGAAAGTGATATATTCATAAATCTATTTGTTGCAGTAATAATTGTAGTAATTTTGCAATTTAAAAGTTATATGAAATTTATACGACAACGTTGAAAATTTATAAATTTATTTTCAGCATATTTTAAATGATGAAAGTTCAACAAATATTACTTTTTGATTAACTTTAATTTCGACTATAAAACTATCACAGCAATATATAGCATATTGTTATTCTAAGCATAAATATAATCATTTTACAATTTTTCTAATCAATACGGAAAATTTATGATATGATAAAGTTGATGTGATATCATCATTAAAATTTAATTTGATAAAATGCTAAAAATTGACAATTGGAATCTGGTGCTTCTTTTTTCTTATTGTTAATAAAAGGAAAGCCATGTTTGTGTTGTTGGTACCATTGGTACCATTGGATAAATGACTGTTTACAATTTTTAAGCTATCACAGGCTTAAAGTAACGATATGTGATGTAAAACAGATGATGCTTTTAACCAAATGGAAAGAATAAACTAAGTAAGACCAGATGGAATAAATATTCAAAAATTTGATACAAGAGAGGAAGAGAGAGAGAGGGAGAGAATTGGAGATATGAAGAAAGTATTCGTGGATCGGACGAAGTTAATATTATTGTTTACAACATTTCATTGCATTTATAAGAAGCTAAATGCACCTTTCATTGTTTAAAAAAGCTTTTCTATCTTAGGCTGCATATCCATTGGTCAGTTTTTCTGACCATTTGCTTTCTTCTTAACTCACACAGACACATAAACAAACAGACACACACATACACAGTAATTGCAATAAATAATGATAATGATAAATATATATATATATAGCAAAGCTTTTATACTATAAAGCGTTAATTAATGAATAAATCATACCTTAAAGGAATGAATGATTTTGTTGACAACATGATAATGCAGAATTTCCAATATATACATATATATATATAATAATCTAAGTTATACATATAATAATCTAAGTTATGCAGTTTATTTTTATGTGGGTATGTAAAATAATTTCAGCTAGTATGTAAAATAATTTAATAATCCAAGCAGTTATTTTTTTCAGTTCAAGTTGGAAATGCTAATTAATAATTTACAATTCTTACTGTAAAATAATTTATTAAGTAATGAATGATGGAAAAATAAGGTTTATACAACTTAATTATATATCATTCGACATTTTTGATATATCATTATCATCGATAATATTTGAAATTATCAATATCAATTTAAATTTATTGATTTTATAAAGCATAAATATTTGTGATAATTACCACATCGAAATATGTCAAAATATATTTCAAAATCATGTCAGGATGTAAATTATAAATAATTACCTAAAGAGATCGCTAAGAATATCATTTTGCATTATGCATATTTATGATATCGAAAAATTTTATTAACAAAATCGAAATTTCTTCATCCTAAATTAAATTAATAATTTATAATTGTCAGCTTCTAAAATAATATGAATTTATTATTCATATTATTTCATTATGGTTTAACATTTTCATTATAGTTATTTTATCAATTTTAATTTTCATTTTAGCAAACTTCAAAATTTTTACTACTTACAAAATTTTCGAATGCTAATTTCTCTATTATAAAGATTATAAAAAAGGTTTAAATAATAAATGCTAAATATTATTTTAAAATAAAGTTTTAATTTTATTCTTAAAGATGAAGGATTATTTAAAAGATTTTCTTCTCTTTGTTTCTTTTTTGCTTAAATTAGATGAAATTTTTAATTGCAATGGTTCCAACGATCCATCCATCCATCCATCAATGGTCATTTTAGGGACAATTTCTACAATTTACAAATTCAATTCATAGATTTAATTTATTTGAAGTAGTTATTAATTTAAAAAAAAGAATTCAAAATAAGGGAATAGAAGAAAATATGCAAATGTTTGTGTTTGATATAATCATTCTTCTGATCATTCATTATATTCACTCTCTAAAATGGTACCATTTAGCTCTCTTCCAAAATGGTACCATTTAGCTCTCTTCCAAAATGGTACCATTTAGTTCTCTTCCAAAATGGTACCATTTAGTTCTCTTCCAAATGGTACCACTAAATTAAACATTAATTTTGCCGTATTAATTCAAATTATTATATTCTTTGTTTATTTTTGACAAAAATTTCATACTAAATCTTATTGAAAAAATTTATGATTGTATGTGATAATTAATCTAATCGTTGCACGAAAAATGCAAAATTTATCCGTTGATAATCAATAATCAATAATCTAAATGATAGCAGAGCAAATAATGATCATTCTTGATCTTATCTATCGATCAAAAATTTTCAATCTACTCATTGGAATAGAGTAATTACTAATAATACATCTAATGATGGCATAATGCATGGAAGAATAGTAGTACCACGTGAACAATCCTCTAATTTAGTTCATGTGATATGTATTCGTCATTACATCTGTTTGAGGCATATCGGTAATTCACTTTATGTAGTATGTATTGGTAATCCATTTCATGCAATTCATGCCGGTAATTCATTTCATCCGGTACGTCCTGCTAATTTAGTTCATGCAACAGATACTCGTAATTTAATTCATACCGTACGTACTCGTAATTTAATTCAAGCGACACATAGTGGTACTTCAGTTCGTGCGACACACGCTGGTAATTTAGTTCAAGCGACATACACCGGTAATTTAGTCCAAGCGACACACATCGGTAATTTAATTCAAGCGACACACACCGGTAGTTTAGTTCAAGCGACACATACTGGTAATTTAGTTCATACAATGCGTAACAGTTATTCAGTTAATATGATACGTACTAGTAATTTAATTCATATATTTCGTGTTGATAATTTTATTCGTATGACTTATTCTGGTAATTTAATTCATATAGTATATGCTAGTAATTTTGTTCATGTGATGCGTACCCATAATTCAATTTATGGGACAAATAATTTAGCTCATGTGATGCGTGCTAGCAATTTAGTTCATGTGATGCATGCGAATAAATTAAATTTTTCGATACGTATCGATAATTTAGTTCGTTTGATGCATGCTAGAACTTTAATTCATGAAGTACGATCCGGTAATCTAACTAATGCAGTACGTGACAGTAATTTAGTTCATTCGATACATGCTTATAATTCAGCTCATGCGATACGTATCGATAATTTAGTTCGTCTAATTGATGCTGATGATACAGTTCGTATGATGCGCACTGGTTTTTTGATTCATGTAGCGCGTACTGATAATTCAGTTCAATTGATGCGTACTGGTAATATAGTTCATGATATACATATCGGTAATTTAATTCGTGTAATGCTCGCTGGCACTTTAGTTCATGTATTACGCGCCAATCATTCTGTTTATATGATGCGAGTCGGTAATTCAATTTATGGGACACATCCCAGTAATTCAGTTCATGCGATACGTGCCCTTAATTCAATTTATGGAATGCATAGTGATAACTCAATTTATATAATACGTACTGGTAATTTAGTTTATGTAATAAATACTGGTAATTCAATTGATGTGACGATGCATACTGGTAATTTATTTCACGTGACATGTACTAATAGTTCAGTTCGGGAAATACGCATCTTTAATTCAGGTAATTCAATTGTTGCGGAACGTCCAGGAAATAATGCCATTCTTGTGATAAGTGTCGAGAATTCTTATCATGCAATACGTGTTGGTAGTTCAGTTTGTATAATACATTGCAGTGATCCACTTCATGTAGTGCGTGCCGATCATTCCATCCATGTTTTACGTATTGGTAATTTAGTTCACGTGTTATTCAATCCTAATTCATTTCCTGTAATACGTGCTGGTAATTTAATTCGTATGATTGGTAATTCAGCTTATTTGATACATGGCAGTAATCTAATTCGAGTAATGCGTAATATCAATAATACAGCTTATGTGATTCGTACTCATGATATAGTTCAAGTGATACGTAACGATAATTCAAGTTATGTGATATATACTCCCAATTTAGTTCATTTAATGTATAGTAGTAATTGAGTTTATGCAATCGGTAATTGAATGTTACTTATGATTATCAAAAATTTTAAATGAAATGTAACGAATGATTCAAAAGTATTGATCTTTGGAAATATCAATTTCTCGCGAAGTTTCTAATTTTTTAAAAGGCTAATATGAAAATCCTTTCTTTCTTTTCCTAAATAAGTACCATTCAAATGTTGAAATTTATTCATTTTTGATAATTATTAGTTTCATTGGTACAATTCAAACTTTTTTGTTTTAAAATTTAAATAAAACAATTTAAATTATTTTCTCAGATGCAATGAATTAAAAACAAAGAAGAGAAATAATATAAACAATCATAGAAAAATACGAAAATTATAAAATTAAATTTTAATACAGTTAGATTTTCTTTCCGGAAAAGTTCATCCTTAAATTATATTTAAATCCAGAATAACTCTGCTAGAATGACACTAACATTTATACTTTGAGCATATTTATCATAATCATTTCAATAATAATAAATTCCTAACCGGATATCATCCGATGGCATTTTTGATATATACGACAGCATTTTTGATACGATAGTATTTTTGACGGAATCATTATTTTTCATACGATAGTATTTTTGACGGAATCACTATTTTTCAGGAAATTATATAGTAAGAAAAGAAAATTGAACAATCCCGGAAAAAGTACAATTTTTTTTGAAATATTCCATTACAATAACTTTTTTGATTGAGCACATAAGGAACTGCAATGATTTAATTTACATTTGAAATGTTTCTGCAGTCTTATCATATACTCTTATCTTTCATCCTCCAACCCTCTTTTTCCCCTATCATTGATAACATTTTGCTGCTCTCTTCAACACATTAAAAGTCACCTTGTGATTACATTTAACTATTATATATGCCCTCCTGTTGTAGAACTATCAATCTATTCATTTTTCAATAATAATATCCTAAAATGAGTAATGCAACATCTAATCTAATGAAAAATAGGTATGATATTTAAATTACTTTTTTGTTTAAAAATATTATAAATAAAATTTTGCATAATAATTTGGAAATGCAAACAGTGATAATGATAATGATAATAGTAATAATGGTAATAATAATTACAATATTAATTGTAATAGTAACATGAAATTTATTATTTTTCTAATTATTTAATATCTTTGATAAGTAACACTTTTTAATTAATTAAAATTAATTTCAATTTCATTTTGTTTTTTAAATTTAGTCACGTAGTTCAAAATTATGGATCAACAACAAATTTGGTTGAAGAATTTCACTGTCACAGTGATGAAAATTTACAACCAACCATCACCGATCGACGAGCTATTCGAACCCTTTGGGCATCTATTATTATTTGCTTAATTTTTATCATTTCTGAAATTATCGGCGGTTATTTAGCTCATTCACTTGCAATTATCACTGATGCAGCGCATTTGGTAGGATATATATTGATAAGAAATCTTTTTCCATTTTTTGTATTTGAACTTAACACATATTATTTTTAATTTGATAGTCTGAATTTCATTATCAATATACATAATATAAATAAATAATTAATTAATAATATAAATAAATAATTAATATAAGCATAATACATAATTTAATTAATTACATTAAAAGAAATGTAATTCAAATTTTGAAAAAAGAAATTTTAGTTAACTGATTTTGCCAGTATGTTGGTATCATTGTTTGCTCTTTACATATCCAAAAAACCCGCATCACAACGAATGAGTTTTGGTTGGCATCGTGCAGGTATTTAGCATTTTCTTTTATTTACTACTAAGTTAATAATATAAATAAATAATTAATTAATATAAGCTTAATATTTAATTTAATTCATTCAATATTTATTTTTAATCTCTTTCTTAACTTTTGTTCAGATTATATTCATTGATAGCATTAAAATTATTGAAATTAATTTGTTTAAAAAAATTACCAATGCTATAATTATATTAATTTTTCCTACGAAATTTTTATTGAGGAAAAAATAAAAGAAATAATTAATTAACTCAAATAGTTTTATTTTGATTTTTAAAAAGGGAAAAGAAGAAGATGTATGAAATTTACCGTATCTCTTTTTTTCTTTCTTATAAAATACAGTAATTAAAAATTATAATTTAAGAATTATTATTAATGAATTAAATAATTCAGAGGTAATGGGTGCATTTATTTCCGTTTTTATGATTTGGATTATAACCGGAATATTAGTTTATATGGCTATCGATCGGATCACTCGCCATTCCTATCATATTGATGCTTCAATTATGGCAATTACCGCAGCATTGGGTGTTTTCGTTAATTTCATGTAAAAATTTATTATCATTCTTTTTTAGCTTTATAAATAATTACTGTTATTGATTTAATGCTAATTCTGATACGATATGAAAATGAATAAAATTTTAATTTAAAAAATTCAATTTTTAATTTTCAAATTTAGTAGTGATGAATATATAAGCTTTTATCAACGATGTTTATTTGACTAATAAAACAAAAGACAAGAAAAGATAAAATTAGAGGTGAGATAAAAAGGAGCAAAAATTTAAATAATTTTAATTAATAGATTTTATTAAGACTTTTATCAAATATGAAAAATTAACTATTATCATATAATAATTAAAAATGGATTATTAATTTATTTGATTTCTATTTAGAATATATTTTTGATAAATTATTATAAATTCAAATTCATAAGCTTTTTTTTAATAATAATTAATGAAATTTTAGTATGGCAATATTGCTTTATTTTGGTGGACATACACATTCCCATAATGGTCATTCGAATTTATCCCATTCAACAAATTCGGGTAGTACCACAAATATTAACATACGGGCAGCGATGATTCATGTTATCGGGGATTTAATACAAAGTATTGGAGTACTTATTGCTGCGATACTTATTCTTTTCAATGTAAGTAAAATTTAAAATTTGAAATTAGCAAATCACATGAAGTAATTCATGCTATTGGGAATTATCGGAAAGTATTTGAATTGGTCATTTTTTATAATGTAAGTGAAGTTTTAATTTAAAAATTTGAAATTAAGTTAAATTCCATGAAATTGGCAAATAAAGTGAAATATTTAAACAAGGTTAAAGGTTAAATATGCCAAAAATTTTGTTCGTTTTCAAATGAAATAATTACTTCGAAAGAAATTCAAGCATTTAAACAAACTTTTAGCAAAAGAGTTTACAAATATCCTCGTTTCTTTTTTGCTATAAAAACCTTTTGTTTTTGAAATTTCAATTTAATTTAAATGAAATTTTTAAAATCTCTAGGAATCATGGTCTATAGCCGATCCAATTTGTACGATAATTTTTTCAATTATCGTCCTTTGTACGACAATTTACATCATTCGAGATGCGATGTTTGTTCTACTTGAAGGTTATATACTTACTTCCTTTTCACATATATCAATTACTTTGTATTATTTGCTTAATTGCTAAATTTAAAATAAGATTTTATTTATAGCTATTTATAGTTTTAGTTATAGTTATAGTTAATTATAATTATAGGACAATCGTTTAGTTGCCACATTTATTGCTACGAAAATTTAAAAAAAATAATCATAAACCAACGAAACATTAAAATTGATTAACATAAAATTTTAGAAAAACAAACTTTAAAACAGAAAGTTTTTTATTAAAACAATGATTAATTACAATAATAATGAACGACTTAATTAAAATTATAACAAAGAAAACAATTGAATTTCTAAAATGTTATTAAATATGCATTATTTATTTTATTGTTGAATTGATGAGATTTTCAAAAGTTTATTTATCCGATAATTTCGAATTTTAAAATTCCTTCCTTTTCTCTTTAAACTTTTCTCTTTATCAAATGTTCTCTTTTATTTATGCTATTAGCAATTAGCAATTAGCAATTAAATTTTTAAAAATTTATAATATAGCATTTTAACCTTTTTAACCTTAGCCATCTCATCTATCTATCGATGATGAATGAAAATATTTAAATGAAAAATTTCTAACTTAGCATTTAATCGTATAAATTAAAATTTTATCGTATAAATTTATCATAATTACTTTTATCAAAATATTTCGCAATTATTTTATATTAATTAAATTACTTAATTTTGCAATTTGCAACTACTTAATTTATGTTAATTAAAAATAATAATTATTATTTTATATAATAGAAATTTTAAACAAATATTTCCATTTTATAAACTTATCATTTTTCTTGCATAATTATTAAGAAAATAACGATTATTTCAGGTTCACCATCAAGCATTAATTTTCGTACCGTATTCGATTCATTGGAACGTATTCATGGTGTTGAAAAAGTGCACAATTTACGAATTTGGTCATTAACGCTTGATAAAATAGCAATAAGTGTACATCTAGAAATTACACCAGGCGCAAATGCTCAATGGATTTTAAAGCAAACAACACAAATGCTACGAGATGAATATAATGTACTGGAAAGTACGGTACAAATTGAAGGCTATGATCCGGAAAAGCAAGATTGCAATCAATGTATACCACCAGCTTAATAATTGAAAGTAAATTTTTGTGCTAATTGAATTCGTAGTATTTTGATGAATTTGATAATACATAATCAAATTGTATTATTTATTGATAATAATAGTAAATAAGTAATCTAAATTTCAAAATTAAAATTCCTAAGCTAACGTTTGAATTTTGTTGCAAAGTTTTCGCTTTTGTTGTAGTTTAATATAAACTTCATTTTACATATTCTTTATTAATAGTTAGTAGAAATTTTAAATTTTGGCATAAAATTATCCTTATTGATAAGTTGAGGAAGAAAATATAACTTTTAAGATTACAATTTAAGTTAACATTTTAATTTGAATGTGAAGTTGTTTTCCCTTTCTGGTTTTGATTAAATAAAAATTTTGTTACATTTAAATTAGCAAACTATTTATTACTATATGAATTCTATATTATACTATGTTATATAATAAATGTATGGATGATACGATCATTTTATTTAGTAAATACTCAAAAGAACTGAATTAAGAGCATTATATGTTAAACTACATTAACAATTGTTATTAATTGGGAGCATTTTTTTGCATAATAGAAAATAGCAAGAAAAGGTTTACATTAATATGGAAGGTTAATTTCAGGTAGGAAACTTATCAAGGCCTCTTTTTCCTTTTATTTTCAAATGTTTGCTTCCTAATTTGTTTTAATCTTTTATTGGAAGAAAATGTAGTTAGCATAATTTCTTTCGTCTTCTTTAACTTCTCAGACAAAATGTTTATTCGATATTATAAAATGAGAGAACAATGAATTTAAATATTATCGCTTTATTCAAATAGTTAAAAAGAAAGAATAGTAAAATATTAGTATGATATAGTTAGTTCATATAGTTAGTAAATGTTAAACAATAAACAATCTTACAATATGAATATCTTTATTAAATAAATTTTGCTTAGCAAAGCGATACATAAAGCAAATGCTGATTGAAAGCTTTAAAGTTTACGTGAATAACGTGAATGACGTATTTCCTTACGTCTCATAAACGATAAATATAATAATTACGAGTATAGCAGAGCATTCAACAAGAAAATTAAATTTTGATTAATTTGAAAAAAATAAAGGAAAAAATGAACAACAAAGAAATGAATGAAAATGAGCGTATTATTCATATAAGGCATATTAACATACGTGAAACGTATGTTTAACGTAAACGTGTATGTATTTAACGCAACAACGTGTATGTATTTTAACATTACACAACGGAACTATTTCTTAAATATCAACAATATTAAAGCTAAAGAAAAATAGAGAGAAGATAATTTGATAATTTCCAAATACTTATATTACCTATTCAAAACAACTATAATCATTTTTAATCTAATACTTGCAAAAAAATGGCAGTGTTTTTAATAAAAATTAATTGGCAGTAATGATAAAACAATGTTAACAATGACAATGATAAAATTGATAAATCAGAAATTAGCATATGAATATAACTATTGATTTATGCATCTATAGTTCAAAGCCATCTAATGAGAACTAGTAATCCCGATAGAATTAAAAAATTATTTGAATGTATTTTAGCGTAATTCAAAAAGCATTTCGTATTTTCTTCAACAATGAATCATCCAAAATCTTCATTTAAAAATTCCCTTTGTAATCCTAATATGTAGTTTATTTTCGATGAAATTGAATAATTTGTAAAGAATTTTGGTTCATTGTTTTTCTATATTTCAAATTTCTATATTTCAATTCCTACATTTCAAAAATTAATTTCAAAATTTATATTTCAAAAATTTCTATATTTCAATTAATGGTATTATACATAATTAACATAATTAAGTAAACGAGTTAAATAATTAACTATTTCAATACATTAAAAAACAAACAACTATTGTCATTTAAAATAGTTTCATTATATAACTTTCTAACAACTTAAACCAAATTTGTTACGTGTTCTATCAAAAAATTTAAACATTAGTATGAGCATGAGGTTGAACAACTGTTTTTGTCATTGCTGTTGTTGTTATCGTTGTTGTAGCATTAGTTACTGTTGTTGTTGTTGTTGCTGTTGTTCGTGCATTAGCATTCGATGAACAAAATTTATTGAGAGCCAGAACAGTTTTTGCTAACAGTGGAAGATTTCGTCGTTCCAAAATATCGGCAGAACTGCATATTGAATTCTGAAAATTATCCGGAATTAATTTTGAAGATTCCGGAAAATATTTTATATTAAACTCGCATCTATTTTTTAGAGCAAATGAATGCTTTAAAATCTGATAAAATTAAATATATCATCAAACTTTCTCAGTTAGAAAAGATAATTGAAGGATTTTAAGTTTGTTTATCAGAAAATTAATTTTTAAAGATTTGATTGATTTTGAAATGTTTCAAATTATTTCAATAACATTCGAAGTTGTCATAACTATTTATAAATCGAAACAACACACATTTGACAATGGTGTTTTACATATTGTTTTACATTAATATGATAGCAACAACTAATAGTATCAATAATTAATTAATAATAATAATTAACAATAATAATAAGTAATATAGCAACAATAATAATGATAATAATAGTGATAATAATGATAATGATTTAGTGTTAAATGATAATTTAAAATTAATCTATTAATTAATTAATAATAAATAATGATGAGGAAAAAAATTTAAGCAATGAAAGCAATCAAACAGCGATGTAAAATATATAAGTAAATAAATATATCAGTAAAAATTAGCGATCTAATACTATAATGTACACTAATAAAAAATGTTATCACTTTTCCTAACTGTTCATCGAATAAATATTCTGCTACTGATAATCTTATCAATTTGGAAAGATCGAAATTTTATTAATATTTATGAAAAAATTGAAAACTTATTTCATCTAAAAAAATCAAAAGAAAATATACTTATCATATTCAAAATGAAAAAGTGCTATTAAAATAACCATACACTGAAGGAAATTAAATTAAAAACATAATTATTACATATTAATTAATTAAGCTATTCCAATCGTAATATATTATAATAATTAGAAGGATAGAGTAAACAAGATGATAAAAGCATGCAGTTTTTGATGATAAAATATAGTAAAAATAATACATAAATAGTAGAATCATTGATAAATTCTAAAATTAAATAGCTTACTACCCAAAATAAGAACCAAATAAGAAATTATAAATAATTAACCAAGTAATTAGGGTGATGTTAAATTACAATCATTTCAAATTTTTATGTTAGATTAAGAAATGCAAGTATATATTATATAACTTACAAAGATTATGTGATTAAAAATGATTCGTATATTTATTACATAATAAGATATTGTAGTAAAATATTCATCGAATAAACGATTTAAAAAATTTTTTTAGATATCAAGTTTTGGAAGGAAATTTGAATTAATGGTTGATATTTCCTTTTGAGAATTTGTTTTATAAGAAATCGTCAGCAACAGCACTTGGGATATCTTAAGTAAGAATCTGCGTGGGATGAATTATATTTAAATATTGCAATGTAATTAAGTCGTAATTAAACACAAATTATTATATAGTAAGTAACAATAAAAATGCATGCATTTCATAATTAATAAAGCTAAATTAATTTATCAATCAATCGATTAAACCATTAATTAACGCGATCGATCAATCAACAAACCAATCGTTTAATCAATGAATACTTCGATATCAAAATTTATAAATCAATGCGAAACATATATAGGCGACGAAAACTGTTAGCATTGCATTGGCCAGCATTCTATCACTAAATTCAAATTGTACTCGTCCCTCAATTAGAACCTGAAAACTTTTCTTTTGCTACCAAATGTTTGCAAATATATTTGCTCCCAAAAATTTTTTTCATCAAAACCATATTTGCAAATAAACAATTACTATCACTCATTTATATATTTTTGGTATGCATTGCAATGCATGCATTTCATAGATGCAAGTTAAATTATGTGTAAATTCATAACGATTAAAAACACATGTACATACATAATTACCATGTTGCAAATATTGTTCGCACTTTTTTCTCTTAACTGGATATGATATGTTACTGTAAAATTTTTTCATAACTGGATAAGATAATATGTTACTGTAATTTTAGAATTTAAAATTTGATAACTTTTATTTGAGGAAAATGGAGTAAAAACAAAAGCATGCAATTAATTTGTGTAGTTCATATTTGCAAGTTATTTGTTAATTGTGTTAGAAATAATGCCAATTCTATTACGGCATAATAATTATTTATGATTATCTGTAAATTCATAACGATTAAAAACACACGGATATAATATCATATAAATATATCCATATATCATATATATCCCCATCCTTTTTCTTCTACTATTCAACTTAGTGCCATATATCATTGAAAAATCAAGCTATATCTTGTTGGGTTAGCTAAACCATTAGACTTCGTTGCAAATTTGAATTTGAATTGAAATTAAATATTTTCTTACATTTTATAATATTTATGTCAATGATTATAAGTTTATTCATTCTCTTCCATAGAGCCATCAGAATAAAGAATATAAAATTCAAATTTAATTTCAGATTTGTAGCTTTAAGCAAATAAACTTAACGTTATCTTTTTCATTGAAAGGTCAAAAGTGAAAATTAAGTGTTAATAATAAAATACTTAATTTGAAAAAAAAGGGAAAAATCACACAAGCAAATGTCACGTAACTTGCATAATTGCAAACTGCAACATGCGTTGCATGTCGCATGAATCATGCATTTTTGTTAATCAATGTATGAATTGAATTTTTTGCTATTGAATTTTTTATTAATTTATGAATGATCCATTTATAAAATAAGTATGCAGAAGTTAGGAAAAAATTAAGAGAATTTATGAAATTTATAAAATAATGTAAACTAAACATTGAGGTATTATTAGAAAGAAGACGAAGGATTAAGACTAAGAGAGTAATCTGGAAGGAACAGAAAATTTTTTCCTTAGTTTTTCTTTTGCTTTTGTTAATAAACTTATTAAAGCTAATTAAGAAATTAAGGATGCAAGAAGGGATTGAAGTGATAAGAACATCAAACTCATCTATCAATATGACATTAGCAGGATATATTTGTTGATTTCCATGACCTAATAAATTGATCCTGATAACCTTTTACATTTTCTTATCTTAATGATTAGATAAAAGTCTTTATATCAATGCTTCCAAAGCAAAAATTATATCTGTGCCAAAGTAGTCAAGAAAAATTACTGCAAAAAAAGGGGAAATCATAAAACGAAGAGTTATCAAATTTTAATTAAATTAAATAGGCTGATTTGATTGACATAGCAAAAGTGCGCTTGAACTTTCGAAGCATGTAAGATACTAAAATTATAATGAAAATTTACATAAGCTTTCAATTATTTTTGCATTTTACGACTAACACATGATTACACGGAAGTTAGTTTAATTGCCAGTTTTTCCTATTCCTCATTTAATGCTTACACGGATAGTGGAATTGTGAGACAGGATATCATTTATTTAAAAAAAAACCGGCGAAATCAATTTAACTATCCAATCAGCTTAATTAATTAACTAAAATTGATAGCTTTTACAACTATTCTCTAAGCAGATGATATAAAAAGAAGAATAAAAATAAAATTAGACCTGATTTTTGAAAAATTAAAATGTGATTAGCTAATTCTTCAATTGACAAAAAAATTAAGTGTTGCATCATTTCATGTATTATCCCATCTGTATCATCTGCTTCCAATAAAGTTTAGTTAATTTAGGAAGCCAAGATAATTTGAAAGCTCATTATAATTTCGAATTCCATAAGGAAAAATACAAGTATACTTTAACTTCTCCGGAAAAATAATCTTACAGGAAAATAACAAAAAATTCTGACCTTTACACCTATTTATGGTGCAGGTAAAACAACAATAATAATAGCAATAGCAATAACAGCAACACCACCAACAATAACAATGACAAAAGCAACGATAGCAAAACGATAATAAACTTAGAATAATGCAATATAAAGTGGGGAGATCTTTCCTTTGACTATTTAAAATGTATGGAATTTATAAAAAATTTCACTAAATGATTATTTTATTGATAACGTTTAAATTTATATAAATTTCGATCATATAATATAATCAACAATTATTACAATTACATATGCACTCAATAATATGTTGATTATTTATTCCCTGCAATTATTATATTTCAATTTAAAGATTTACCTCGGGAACGCCGATCCGTCGACATGCTGCCAAGAAACTGTCAACATTACGCCGACATTTTGGTGGTGATAACGGCAACTATAAAATTCATTTTCTTTTTCTAAATTTTCTACTTCACAGAACATCAGAAGATATCAAAAATTGAAATCTTATATAACATAGAAATCGATATTTAATAAGGGAATTCATATTAATGTCTCAAATAGGGCATGAATTAAGAAAAAATAACTCCTTGGAAATCATTCAAAAAATAAAACTAAGTTAAGGAATTATTTCCTAATCTGTAACACTATCAATCTACTATCATATAGATCTTAATAAATCTAGTATTAGTGTTTGAGTAAAAAGTAATTCGTGTTGCATTCATAAATCTTAATCAAACAGATAAATAATTCAACATGAGTTGGAAAATTTAATGAAATCAAAATAAATTGAAAAATTATTTACCTCTTCGGATACTGGTGTAAACAAACTATTCACTGCACGTAAACGTATCCGATTAGCGAAATTACATAATTTAACACCATCTGCTAATGAAGCTGACAACTGTGATCGTCCTGATGGCAATGTTATATTCAAACGATTTTCAAGAACCTAAAAAGACAAAGATAATTGAAAAATAAATTTACAGTTTTATAAAAATTTTCAATAGCAACCATGTGTAATTGTGGTAAAAATTTTCATTAAATCGATCAAAAATTAATTGATAAAGTTGAAAAAATACCAATAATATTCATTATTTTACATAGAATTTTTAAATTCTACGATGAAATTTCCAATTTTTATGATTAATTTCAATCTGCTAATTTACCACAAACATTCATCGCAATGCACTTCCTCATATAACTTATTATCCGTTTCGTTTATTGATTATAATCATCCGGAAATTCCGTTAATCAACAGGTATGACTTTTTAATTCTAAAGAAAGAAATGCTTCTTCAACAAAGCTTGCCTTACGCATATTTTCCACAATATTACTATTAGTGGTCACATTTGAGCCAATCCCACTTATCGTTGTATGATTGATCGGTGAACGATGTAATACCGTACGTGGCGCTCTCGTTCCAGTGTTTGTAGCTAATTTTGATTCTGAAAAAAAAGGGGATAAACGTTGAAAATTTAAATTTTAAATCAAATTGAAAAAATATCTGAAAATAATGAAAGGTTTAAATTTGATAAAAGAGTGATAAATAATACAAAAGAGAATTTCTTTTAGCAACTACGACTGGTGCAGTGAAATTTTGAAATTCCAAAAATATGAGATTGATTTTTACGAGTATTTATACAAGTTATATGCAAACAAATGTATTAAATTGGAAAACTAACTTGTCAATGATTCAATTGCATGTAAATTAGTTGAACGTGTAGAAACAGAGTGGCGTTTATCAGTAATGGTTCGATTAGTTAGTGGTTGAGTTGTTCCTGATGAACGTGAAATTGATGAAGTAGACTTGCTTGATGGTAGGATACGTTCACCTTTAGTTGATGATACGTGTGAAGTCTAAAAATTTTTAAAAAAATTTTAACGAATAATCAAAATCATTACTAACATATCAGCATCTGATAATTCAACTTCATCATTAAGTTAAATTTTGATAACAATTATTAGCTGTTTTTGTTATGTTGACTGAATATATTTATGAATAAAGCAAATTTTCATTTAAAGAATTTAAGCTGAAAAAATTTAGTGGAAATTTTTCGCTTGAATTTATTGTTGTACTTATAAAGAAAAAAATATTCTCTGCTTACAGCGATGGAAGATGAAACAGTATCCGATTGTGCAATAGAACGAATTGTTGTTTCGGAAGCACTTGAATTTCCGGTCGATGACGAAATGGATGCAATTGTTGAGATGGAATCTGTGGTTAGATAACATCTGTCACCTATAACTTGATGAAATATTTTTTGCCGATTTTATAAATTTTACTAATTAAATATTTTTTGTCGATTTTATAAATTTTACTAATTAGTTACAATTTGAATACAATTAATACAAAGAAACAAATTAAAAATATCAAACAAATGTTATCGCAATTTAGTATTATCCAATTAATACTACTCACCCTCCTTTTGAATTCAAATTTATGAAAAATTTTTCTAGCAAAAAATAGAACTGCTTATAAATATAAATACAATCAATATTGATTAATGCAGTATCAATATTATATAAAGATTAATTATAAACTCAATGAATTCGAATGTATTATCAATACTGTAATAAAATTATTTATTAACCTGATGAATTCGAATCTTCAATAACTGGTGATAAGCAACTTTGACTTATTGTTGGTGATACAATAGAATGGTCGATAATTGTTAGAAATGATGAATTTTCATTATTTATATTAGTGGTTTCAATTTTTTTTGTTTCTATCAAATCGGAATTGATAATTGTCGGATGTGAATCATCGATCATTGTTGTTATATCATGATCCAAAACATTTCGAAAATTATTACTACTACTACTATCACTACAACCAGTAGTATTGGTACTACCAGTGATACCAGTAGTAGTAATACTAGTAATATAATTACTAGTGTTATTACTAATAGCATTTAGTTGTGAAATTGCCGTAGAACATTGGACACAATGTTGATTATTTAGTTTTTGTTCTTCTTTTTCAGGTGTATTATTATTTTTAATATCAGGTATCATTCCATTATTTTTCCTTTTATTGTCATCCATTCCTTTCGTTTTTGATTCTGAAAAAAGCATAATGTTGATTTCAGAAAAAGATTTTCCTTCTTCACATTAATAAATTACACGAAAATTAGAAAAGCAAAGAAATCCAACCTTGATTTACAGTAGCAACAGGCTCATTGACGGTTATGGTAGCAGTCATCGGTGTAACAATAGCTTGAGGTCTTTGAGTAGTAAACGATGATGATACGGTAGATGAATTTGAACTATAGGATGAGGTAGTAGTGATGCAATTATTGGAGTATAACTCATTATTGATTGTAGCATATTGTTGCTGATATAAGCTGCATAATCCATATGAATTTGATGAAGTTGTACTAGCGGCAATCTATAAAAGTGCAATTTGAATTTTTATTAAACAAATTTAAAATTAAAAATCTGTAAAAAATTAACATGCATATGGAAAGAAAGCTGTAAAGAACTGAGAGGGAAAAGAGAAAGGAAAAATTGAAAATTGCTATTAATAATAATAATAATAAAAGGAATCTTTCATTATTACTCGAATGAATTTCAAATATAAAAAGATATTTGAAAGTGAAACATTCTTTTCTCGCTTTGCTTTCTCTTCCATTTCTGAATTTAAATTTGAACTTGAGAATTCAAAATTTTCCATTCATGTGTATAGATTATAATGGTAATGTTCAACACAAATATCATATATCATAGAACGTGAGTGAGAAAAGTTATATTATTATTTCAGTAATTAATATAAAAAACTATATTCCGATACTGCAATAATTAATATAGAAAGCTATTTTCCTATATGCATTTAAAAAAGGAAAAGAAAAACTGGAGAATTATAATACATGCAATATTTGAAATGATCGTAATGAAAATTTTCACATCATTTATAATAATTAATTAGGAAATGATATGATAACAAAAACAAGCATTAATGATGAATTAAAAAGTAAAATAAAACTATGAAAAATAAATAAATTTGAAAAGATACTTTAAGAAGGTGCAACAAACTTGAAAGAGTGAAAAGTGAAATTTCGACTAAATTTGGGCAAATCTTTTTCACAAGAATGAACGATTAAAAATTTCGATAAATTTAAAATCATGAACATAAAAAAATATTTTGTTCATTTCTTTTTACTATATCATAATAATTTAAATCTATTACAAATTATAGTTAACTCAATAATACTTATAAAATAATACAACGTTTTTTTCCTATCATCGATTAAATATGGTAAGTCTTTGTTGTTGCAACTATTAGAAGAGATTGTAGAGTTGTTTTGTTAAATTATAATTTTAATTTAAATTTGAAAAAATTTTTGGAAAAAAAGAGGAGAAATTAATAGGAAAATGTAGCAGCCGTTCGATAGAACACACATTTTACTCAATTATTATTTTCTTTTTCTTTGAACTCACCTGTTACAGCTCCATAGAAAGTATGGTAATACTTAGATCAGATAAGATACTACTTTTTTGATTCACTTGTATGATTATACCATTCCTAAAAAATATTTTAATCTTGTTCCATTGATCAAATCTGAATGATGATGTTTCTACTATATCATTATGAATCGTATCCGGATGAAAATATTCTCACAATCATTATAAATTATAACTCAATTCAGGATATTCCTGCTATGATTCTTACTTGCACCTACCTTTTTTTTAGATTAATTCTAATTAATAATATTTCTATTTTCAAAAAATTTTTTTCTCCGATTCAAATCCGATTGAAAATATTTCTGCATTATCAGATACGATTATTTTTTCGAATTAAATCTGGATGAAAACACTTCTGCTATTATTGTTCATTATTTCAGATTAGAACGATATTCTATCATCTTGAGATAGCTTGCTACAGCAATTTTTCTCATCGATTTCGTCAATTATGAAATCTATCGTAGATTAATTTATCTTCAGAATTATGAAATCTATCTTCAGTTAATTTATTTTCAGAATTATGAAATCCATCTCTAGTTAATCATCTATCTCTAGAATTATGAAATCTATTTTCAGCTCTTTCCAAATCTCTTTTGACAATATATTTCGCGACCTTTCATTAATAATCATTAGCAATAAAAGTTAGGCGATATGAAGAAAGATATGCAAATGAAGCGAAATAAAAATATGCAAAACAAAAGACAAGGAAGAAATAAATTATTAAGAGAATATCTTTCAGCAATTATTTCACGATTTACGACAAAAAAATAAGACGGAAAAGAAAAAAGATGAACAAAATGAATTTTTCAACTTTAAGAATAGGAAGAAATATCATAAGAATAGCCATTGTCTTTTAGTCTTCTAACATTCAAGTAAACATCAAATTTACGAAATAGCCTTGTGACGATAACTATTAAAATGATTTTGGTCAATTCATTCTGATCATATTTGGTCTTATGACATAAGAGATCAAATAATACGCAACATTTTTAACTTTTTCGAAATATGTCCTTACCGGAATATTATAATAGGATTCCATAGATACTAATTAGATTTTCCAAATATTTTATAAGAATTGAAAATAATGGAAGAAAAACAAAAAAGTTTAAGCAAAATAAATGATAGTTTTAAGGCTAAAATAAAATGCTAAAATTTAACCTTTTGAGCATATGCATGTACCACTTCCTTTAATAGGTCACCATTGCTGTTGTTAGCTGAATTATCCTTTGACCCTAAGCCATTGACAGAAACAATAGCTTCCCAATTTGACGATACTAACTGTTGTTGTTGTTGTTGTTTTTGTTGCTGCTGATAATGATAATGATGATGTAACTGACTAGTTTCGGCAATGTTGAATAAACAGCCAACATGTGGTTGAAACTAAAAAAGGAAAAATGAAACAAAAATTTAGGTAAAAATAATAACAGAATGGTTAAAAATTATACCATCATAATATTTGCAAGTAAACGTCTATCAGAATTTACTAAGTTGTATCATTTGCTATGCAAAAATTAACGTGTAAATTAACCTCACGAGAATAACGATTGTCATCACCGGTTGATGCGTAACCGGAATCACTACCACTTACGGTATTAAAACGAGTCCCGCGTGATCGCCTTTCAAAACGTCGCCCATCACCGATACTTTCTATGCTGCAACAATAAATATCAAACTTATTTGAGCAATAAAGTTATTAATGAAAATCGAGATATACAATGAATTACTTGAAATACGTAAGTATCACAAACTGATTCAATTCGTTATTCCTCCTATGAATAATCAAAATCGCCTTTTTCTAATTTGATCATTCTGTAATTTGATATATTGTTCAGGATAGAATCATTCATTCAAAATATTATAAAATTAACTGCTAACATTAACTTAATTAACTTAATTGCTATGAATATCTCAGGTGAATGACAAAATGTTTTAAATTTAAATGTAAAATTTTTTCATTTCTTGAAAGCTCCTCTGTAAATTGAAAAATTTTTCTTTCGAAATAAAGTAAAGTTTACTTTTGCCCTCTTCTTAATGTTGCATTTATAGTAGTTGGTCGTTTGAATGTATAATCATATGTTTTCGTTCCACTATCAATTGTTCGTCCAGCATGTGATCGCAACCATTTAAATGAATGTTCACGGCCCTGATAAACATATATGTATTAATTATTTTAATAAAAATTTGGAATTAAATGGATTTGAATTTATTGATTGAAATATAAAAGAGAATGTATTAAATAATGGTAATTTATAAGAAAAATTAGTAAGTTTGATTATTGGATTTTACACTTTTAAAATTAGGAAAAATAATGGATCAATATGCTTTAGATAGTACATAAATTAAGCTTGATTTTATATAAATGGAATATGAAGTAATATTACCACTGATAATCGGGATTATCATTACTCTGATTATTATCGGTAATATATTTATTACGTTATTACCATAAAAAATCATGATCACCGTTATCGTATTACCACTTACAATCATGAATATCATTATAATCCTATCATAGAAAGTTATAATTAACAGTAGTATTCTTTACACTTGCAAAATTACCATTTATTTTCCGTTTAAAATAAAAATAACATATATTTGTGATAAAATTAATAAGTATATCTGTTTAAAAATTATCAAAATATATCTTATAGACTAATAGAATTTATATCGATTGATTCATTACATTCATAACCTTAACAGATTAAATTTTAGCGGATTCGGAATCATTTCGGTGATATTTCCAGATAAACATGGATCGATCAAATAGCATAAGACTAGCCATTCTATCGTACCATTAGGTTTTTAATGATATTTCATATTAATGATAATATGCTAAACTGCTAATTTTTATTCATCCCATTTATGTCAATATTTATGCTAATATTTATGTCAATGTCGCAAGCTAAATTGTTACTTTCTTACTAATTAATAGCATACCTTTGAGCAAAGTTTAGCAGGTGGCGCTATGAGAGGATTCACATCGATGCGAAAATCCACCAATGTACGCATATACCATAAGTCAAATGGTAATTCACTAAGTTTATTTTGCGATATGTCCAATATTCGTAATTCTAACTGTGAAAATTCTGAAATTTAAAAAATTTGATAACAAAAAATTCAACAATCTTTATTAAAAGAAAAAGGATAAATTGATACAAACTTTAATATCGATTATTATACTACTATTATAACATCAAATTTTTAAATTTAAATTTTGGGAACGAAATTATTGCTTTCGAAATCTTTCATTCAAAATGATAAAATATATTAAAGTATCATGCTATAATGGTTTGTTTAAAATTACCAAATATTTCTTCATATATGTAATATTTTCATTTAATTATTTCACTCTCTTCTTTATCATCAAAAAAATATAATAAAAATTTTAACACATTTCGATTTGAATTTAACAAAAACAAAGTTTAACAAGAATTTACCATATCTTTTCCATTTTTAAAATTCTCTTTAGGAATTTAATATTTCTCGAAATAAAAAAATAAAAATTTAAGATGCCAAATTTGAAATTAAAATATTAGAAATTAGCTTTCTTGAAAAATCAATGTTCCATCTTTTGTTTATTGTTTTAACATTTTTTGGAAAAAAGTTTATTGCTCCCTTTCTTTAGTTAAATGCAAAAATGCTCATTGCTAAAATGGTTTAATCAATAATGCATCAAATAATATCGTTTCTATTCTCGGATAACCAAATTATATGGTCAACCTCATCATCCTATCTATACCCATTCCAGATGGCCGTTACATCTATCTCATTTCAATGCCGCACATCAATTTCCTTCACCGTTAAAAGAAGCTTTCCCTTTCAGTTCTGATAATTACATATTTGGTTTGTCATTTATTTAATGGCTATATAGCTTTATTTGAGACATATCCATTTCAAACTTTAAAATTGACTTCAGCTTTAAACACTTTATTTCAAATATATTTGCTATTAAAATGATATTTTTTTTAGAACGTCTTCTTTCGCTTTTTTCCATTATTTCTTAAATGACAATCATTCAATAAATTAAGCTTTAAAACAAAAGAAATTATAAGTGAGACAATAAATCTGTCATACTTATCTTTCTTTATATTACGAAAATATGTCAAATAAGTAACCGATAAGATATGAGAAAATGAATTGACAAGAAATCAGGCAATTACTTTATACTCT